GGTCTTTATTTGTTTGTTTATTTGTTTTGATAGAAATTGATATTAATAATCACAAGCAATAATATCTGAATGATCTATTGACTATAACTTCCACGTAGATGTTACCTTTGTTAGTGATGTCCTACACCGACCTGACGTTGAGCACTCCCCAATTATTCCTACATTGCTTATCCCTAAGGTATACGAGACTGTAAGCTGCGTAGTGAACTGTAGAGGAAACACGGTAAAATTTTAATTTCATTTTTTAGAGAAAACAGAAAAAGAAAAAACAATTCGGTCAATAAACATTTAAAACCTGTTAAAGTATGGGATGAATGCTGAGACCTCTACCTTGGAGGTATTTTTTTTCCATAATTTCAGGCCACGTGCTATTTCTCAAGAATAATATTTCTTTGTTTAACAGTTTGCCCATGAAAAGACACATAAATATGGACACACCTCAAAAAAATCTCTTTTTCAAGAGAATGGGACATCCAAGCTAATGAGGTCTGTACCAATTCCCTGCCCAAATCTCAAGCCAGGCACTAAAAGCCATTTTGTTCATATTGTTGTCGTTTTGAATGGATTAAGAATATGGACATTATTCTTGTCAAGAATAAAGATGTTGTCATTGTTGCGGATATTTAGTGTCGTTTGTAGTTGACGAAACCATTTTTTAAACATTATTCGTGTTTGGATGTATGCTCACTGAACCTTTCGGTCGGGCAATAGCCAATCACCGATCACCATTCGTCGTTCTCCCCTTCAACGTTTTTATAGCTGCATAGGAAAATGACTGAGCAGCTAGCTATACACATTCCTTACCTCTGCATTAATGTTTGCAGTTGCATCGAGATTGAAAAAGATTCCAGTTGGAATACATAAAATGAATATGCATAAAACGAATCTTGCAAGTGCTTTCGGTGGTATTATACTTTTTTCCTTAGAAAACGAAAGTCTGCAGAGGAAAAATTGAAACAATTAATAAGATACTATACTAAGCACCATTTTTTCTATATTACGTTTGATTACTATTGTCTATAACAACCACCTAAGGTTATTGTCATTTTTCAGTCACCGTTATCAGTGATATACGGCTTTCTGGAAGAACAATATTAATCAGAAGGAATACCGTGTTTAAACAAAGTTACCGTACCGTACCGTACTTATAAAATTATATATATTGCCGATCCCTGTGGTTTTTTAACAAGTTTTGGGCTTCCTGTGATAGTATTTGAAACTTAACGTAGTCTTACTGTAAGTGTAAATAATCAAAAAGAAGAAGAAAGAGAAAGAGGATGAAACTATTCTGAAGGTAGTGAAACAACACTTTAAGTTTGCAATTTTGATTGGTTGTCTGTTGTTGTTGTTGTTTGGCATAGTGCATTGAGTAGTCCAGACTTACCCACGATTTGTTTTTACTGAGACACCGATTTTAGCTGCTGCATCTGTTGTCAAAAAAAGAGCAAGTCGTACACTTGGTCGCTTCAGCTTGTTAAGCCCTATACTCGATACTTCCAATTGCATTCCAATCGTAAATCCAAAACTGAAGTGCAGAAAGAATCCAATGGTGTTTTTGCCATGCACCTGGGGTTAAAAGATTCATAGGTAAATCTTTGACAACAGCTATGACTTTGTACTGAACGAACAACATACATTACTTTTATCATGGGCCTTTTTCACGCGGCAGGCATGTTGCTTTGAACAATAGATTCCACCACGCGTAGCCTCAAATTCAAGCGCTTGAGAATTAATTTATGCTGGTGAAACAAAGGTTTTTATTCTCATGAGAATAAACATGGCCGCCGTGTGATAAAGGCCCATTAAGAATAAGAACACAACACGACAAGATAAATGATAATCGAACTTACCCGAAAGTCCAAATTCCATTTTTTCTCTAACATTTCAAAACGTTTTGAAATGGGAATGACAAACCTCTTACGTCTGACATGAATTATTGTTTTTGCTATATCTATTTCGGTCATTGCTGTTCCATTGAAGACTGTAGTAATTGGAAATACTTCAACAATTAAATATCCATTGCTGTAGTGTAAGGATTTCACCTGTTAAAGGAAAACATCAGAGTCCAATATTTCTGCAGAATCATTGTTGTATAGGTTAATATATGTATATAATATAACTGCAACTGCAACTGCAACTGCAACTGCAAGTGCAACTGCAACTGCAACTGCAACTGCAACTACAACTACAACTACAACTACAAAGAGGACATGCCTTTCCAGCGAAGGCTTGGCTGGATCTATCGACGATGACATCATTGACCGACATGTTGAATGCTTTATTGTTTGTTTCTTTGATCAGAAGATTTGGGTTGTTATCTCCTCCAGGGCAGCCCATGTTCCCATTTGTCAGTTCCTCGTGAAATCTGAAATTTAGTTCAAGATGTTTTTAGCTATCCTAATTTTTTAAATATAAATTACGATTTGATATACATCTAATGCAATAACAGCTGCCACTTCATTATCATATTTGCAATCTTTTTCCAAAATCATTTAGACTTAGAATGGAAGCAACAAAATATGTATACAAAAAGGTGCTAACAAACGTGAGAGGCAGTTAGTTTGACTGTTTGAGTGTGGTCATTGTCAGGTTTTGTTTTGCGTTCCTCCGATATTGGTTAGTTATGAATATGTGTTAGACAGGACTGCCATTTTTGTTCAACCTAGCAATTAAAACCATTCAAATAAAAAGAACCAAAAATACTTTTACTTACTTGACATTCATATCAGTATTATTATCACATCTCAGTAACAAAGTCTCAACAAAAATAAACTCTGACGTTTTGTTGATACTTGTTATAGTGGAAAGAAATCCATGGCTTTGGTTGGAAACTATAACATCCCCAGCCTCGATCATGAACGGCGTATTAGAAGCATTGAGAACCAAATAATAGGATGCAGCTTTTTTCTGATCTGCCTCGTACATATGACCAACACACTTGTAGACAAAGGTATCTATGATGTAAACAGAATGCATACAGTAAGAGATAAGAGATGCAGATCAGTGATAGAAAAATGTGCCGTCAAACAGAGCAGGCCTATTGGCAAATTTCCGCATAGAACTTCATGGTAAATTGTTCATAAAATACATTCGAGAAGAATAAAACTGACAAATGCAGTATTTACCTGACGGGACTATAAAAAGATTTTCATTTAACGATACATTCCCGTACATTAAGTTGTTTATCATTTCCATATCAGGCTCTGCCTCCACTGTTACTTCATCCTGAAGGGACGCAAGAGTTGCGTCAATTTGAAAATCAGCATACTGTATAAAATCTTCGATACTTGCAGGATCAGCAGTGACGAATGTATATGGTTCTGTGCAAAATAATAACAATAATATAGTATTTTTCTAACATACTACAGTTAACATTGTTTCCGTCATTAGCAATTACTCTTACTGAATATCATATTTCTCTATTAATATGCGCATTGGATGCTAAAGTTAGTTTTAAAAAAAGTATAATTGTACTCTTTATTTGTTCACTAAGAAATGTAAGTATTTCGTTTAGCTTTGTACAAACATTATATTATAAACAATTATATTCTGTTACATCCTCTTATGCTTCTTACCAAATTCTGTGACATCAGAAACTTTATGGAACACCCCTCCTGCTTGATTACTTGAAATGACATTACCAGGCTTGAGAGTCAAGTTAGCGTTAAACACAAACACTGTGACGATATTGTCACCCAAGTCATTTGCTGCACATCTGTACATGGTTACTTTCTCTGGACTTATGATCGTGGCGTTGCCTTTGATTTGCGTGTTTTCTATGCGTGTTGGGTCGGAGTAGTCTATTTTAACTTCGCCATTTGGGCAACGAGTCTCATTCCAAGTTCTGCAGGTTGCTCCAACCTAATAGCAAAAGGAAAATGAAAAACTACAAAATTATAACTAAACTTCAAATCAACTTTGTTTATGGAGAGTGACACAGTAATTCACCTAATCAACACGTGGTCCTTTTTTAACTTCACGTACAAGTTTGACTGCTGAGATTCCAAATGTCAGCAATGTCCAGTTTATCAATGAGTTTCATCAGATGCCAGCCAAGTCCATCCAGAAGTAGTCTGGTCTTGTTATTGCTTTCCTTTAACATTAATTTTGCTCCACAGTACACTTAATATATGCCTGTGTATATTTTTTCCAATTGGTCTGTTTTAAACGGTTAATTGATTGCTTTAATTTAAGGGAGAGGGCTGCAAACTCTTCAAATAGTAAAAGATCGATCTGCTTACCTTAGCCTTGAAACATATTTCTTGATCTTTACATCTTTGACAAGCTTCTTTGCTTGCAAGCTCTGGAAAGCCTCCAAAGTTACAAAGCTGCCAGTTGCAATCTATGAGCTAAGATTATGAAAACAATATGTAAGAGAGACATGCAATGATGATTCCAAAATATCTAACTGTCCTTTCATCATCATCATCATTGTCACCGTCACCGTCACCGTCACCGTCACCGTCACCGTCACCGTCACCGTCACCGTCACCGTCACCGTCACCGTCACCGTCACCGTCACCGTCACCGTCACNGTCACCGTCACCGTCACCGTCACCGTCACCGTCACCGTCACCGTCACCGTCACCGTCACCGTCACCGTCACCGTCACCGTCATCGTCATCGTCATCGTCATCGTCATCGTCATCGTCATCGTCATTAGCATTATTCAAAAACGTTAAAGGAATTGATATTAAATAAAAAGTCTCCAAATTGAGCTGCATCCCAACGTGCTGCAAGTGGTCTGTACAAGGGTGCTAGGGCAAAAATTGGTGGTTTTTTAGCCGTTAGACTCCGTTATATTGGTGTTTTTTTAGCCGTTAAAAACTGTTTGAACTGTTACTCATCTGTTCTGTTATGTGCTGGCTTGATGTTTTTAGTTTTCCCGTCTATATACGCCAAAAATACTGCTGTGACCAACGTTCCAATCGTACGTAACGAACTACTGTATTCTATACCTGTCTCGTGACCGCTTACGTAAACGTACGCGTGGGTTAATAAGTTAATAAGTTAATCCAAATCCCCTAAATAACCAAGAATGAACAGGTGTTCAAAAACCACCAATTTTTGCCCTAGCGCCCTTAGTCTGTATATATAAATATATATTTACCGCTATTTCTCGCGAACAGAAGTTAGTTGTTCCCATTGTGTAGCAGTCGTAAAAGAACCAGTTTTGACAAGTTGAAAAATAGGATYYTTCACCRTRTCCTGGTAAACACTGAGCACGATCGTCACACCACCCGCAGTCTTTATTAGCCATGCACGATCTACAGTTTTCAAACTGGCTGCAATAGGAATACGTACATGCTCTTCCCTAAGAAAGAATAAAATAAAACTTTTAGCTGTTCATTGCGCAATGAAGCTGGGGTCATGAGTTATTGAGTCAAGGTGGGTTAATATTGCGGACTTTTTCTTAAATGTATCTAATATATAAAACTTTCTTAAGTAGGTTACTGTTGCTCTTCAGCATATTGTTTGTGTATTTAATTACGCAAGTAAAGTGCACTTTGGATTCTAAAATGTAACTTACGGATATTCCAGGAAGACAGCGACAGACGTTGGGTCCAACGCAGGTACCATGTCCAGAACAGTTACGAAGATTGTTACAGTGGAATTTTGAGCAGTCGGGGCCGGTCCACCCCTTATTACAGAAGCACGTCGTTCCAACGCATTTACCGTTATGGAAGCAGTTGTTTGGACAACGAATCACTAAAAAAAGATGCATATGACACATCATGAGTAGTTGGGTCTTCTTTCGGAATGCACACCAATACGAGAATTTCGAATATGAGGGAAAGAGAATAAATACTCAGAAATTTTTATCACTACGTAAGATGAAAAACATAGAGAGATGGAGAGTATTGCAAACGAATGTGTACATACCCGGAGTTTTGGAGCATGCAAATGGTTGAAGACTTTCACATGGCGTGATAACAAGGTTATTATCTTGCTCATACACGAAACATCCAGAAATCTGTATAGATTAAGCATATGAAAATTCTTTTAGCTTCGTCTGTTATTTATGGATCAGACATTTTGTTGCAAAATAGTGTGTCCTTTAATTCGCACAAAAATATTCTTGAATTGGATAATTATTTTGTGAAAAAGTGAGAGATCACGACTGAATTAGTAGTAATAGATCTTCTCAGCTCTGAAGCGCTCGAGCGTAATGTTGTCCCATTTCAGACCACGTGTCATTCCCTTGAGAATAATATTCTTTATTTGAGTTGTATCCATATTCATGTGTCTTCTCACGTGCAACCGAGCGCAAACCTTAAACAAGGAAATGATACTCTAGGGAATGACATGTGGTCTGAAATGGAAAAACATTGCGTGAGAGCCCAGGAGGTCTGTTAAGGAGAGATATGGAATTTTACAAGCATTTAAAATATGCCAAAAATATGAAAGCAAGGCTGGAAATCATGTCGTATTGCATGAAATTTTGTTTAGATTACTATTTCAAATACTTGTAGTTGAAACAAGTGGCTTTTTGCACAGGGTCGACCCCCTAGCCGTTCCAAGGTTGAGGAATAAACTAGGCTAATGGAGAGAAATAGACGCCATCTTGGAAATATGTCCGCTAAAATAGTCCCACAATGCACTGCAATGCCAACTCAACCCAGTCTTTTCCTCGACCTCGGAATCGCTAATTAGATATCCTCTCTCGTGAATCGCAAAGTTAGTGATAATTTTAATATCTTTTTTATCAGTTAATTCATAGTGTTGTATAAGTAAATATCCATGATACATGAAAATCATAAATAGCAAGTTATGAAAATAATATTATATTTACCTCCTTTGTGTTGGTCATCCACACTCTCATTCTAATTCCACTGTTGGATTGGTTGCCACTACTGAACGTAGTCTTTATGAAACTCATATCCAGCTCCTGGCTAGAACTAAGTAAATGGCTCCCATACATCTTTTGAGAAATAACCTCAAATTAACGACTTACCAGCAAACGAATAACAAACAAACAAACAAACAAACAAACAAACTACAGTGAGCAATACTCAGTGACAGTGTTCTTTCCATTCTTTGTCATGAAGATTGTGGCTGAGATGGGACATCTGGTGCAAACCCGACGTAACATCGCATCCATGTTCATTGTTGGAACATCTTACCAAGGAAGACAGATGAACGCAATTAAGGTACACACATAAACACACAACCTTAAGTGTCCCCGATCATCTAGCGTTGCATATAACCAATAAAATTAATTTTGTTTGTGATCATCAGCTCAGTTCTGGAGCAGGCAAGAAGACTCTCATCGTGAACTGTGGTATTCATGCTCGTGAGTGGATGACCCAAACAAACAAACAAACAAACGAACGAACGAACGAACAAACAAGCGAACGAACGAACAAACAAATAAGCGATAATGATGGTGATGGTGATGGTAATGGTGATGGTGAAGATGATGATGATGGTGGTGGTGGTGGTGGTGGTGGTGGAGTCGATGATGATGATGATGATATGGTGCTGATGATGATAATGAATAAATCTACCCTATTATTCCAACCAACCTACCAGACAATATTTTTCAGCTTCATGGAAAGATAAGGGACCTCCGTTGTACAAAAAACAAGATTCTTCAAATAAACTCCATCCATATGGGCAAGACACTTAATTAAGAGAAAATAAAGCATGTATAAGAAAAAAAAGTTGAATATATTTACCACGGAAAGTGAACAATACTAACTAAATACATTAGATATAAATTATGTACCAATGGATAAAACTATACTTACATGGTACGGCAGTTGGGGGCCTGAGTCGTATATAGGGATGGTAGTTTACTTTAGGAAAGTTTGCATCGTCAAACAAATCAAGAATACGCATCCCAACAATCTTTGGTAACCCAAATCCCCACCAATTGTCAGTTGCATTTATCGATCGAAATGAACTTGCTCGGTCTGTAACAAGCTCATAAAGATTGGACGGATTCTTGATGATATTCTTGTAGATCTCCACAGGACCATTACAATACATTGTAGACCCATAGTCTTTTATCAGCCCATGATTGTGATAAAAGGTGTTGTTTCGAACTTTTATCAATCTATTAATTATGGTTCTCTTGTTCAGCATGATCTCTAAGTTGTACCTGCCATAATTATCGTAAACGAAGTTTTCTTCCAGAGTACAAACAACCTGAGATAACTTTATGTTACTGTGTATGGCTTGGCCAGTGCCTTTACCGTTGTTACCATTTATATTGTTACCAAATATATCGATGCTAAAGGCCTTTCCGCCGTATCCCGCATCTATGTATATTGTTTCCTTTCTGTTGCCTTCAAAACAATTTCTTTCAATCATGCTTTTGATGACCAAATTGCCATGGCTGTTTCCAACTGTTGCATGAACGCCTCCATTGTTGTTATTCGATATAAAGTTATTTAATATATAAAATGGATTGTCATATGTGTTAATTCTGATGGTACCGGTGCTGGCGTCATCTACGGTATCAGTAAACTTGTTTCTGTGTATCTTTATGTTGAATTGCTGTAACGGGGTGTCACTTTGCAGCAAAATACTATGATTTCGGTTCTTTGTAAAGAAATTTCCATTGACATTGATATTTTCTGCAACTCATTCAAAAGTATTAAGTTACAAAATGATTTTAAAAAAATGAAATTGTTTGCTTAGAAGACGCTGTAAAATGGAGACAAGGTATCGTGAAGCTAACAGGCTGTAAGGCTTTTGTGTATGTAAAGTGTCTGATTCAAGAGAGCATAAATAAGAGAGGGAAATTTATTAATAACGCGCGCGCCATGTAAATTCCCGGTTGGGCTATTTTTAGTAACCGGATGCAGTTTAAATTTCGCCTTACCCTACTCCCGTGCGTCATCAACTTGTGCGCTTGCGCTCTTTCAGCTTCCCTCTTTTATTTATGCTCACTTGGTCTATTTTAATATTACTGACGTAATCGGGCTCCAGCCCTTCCTCGGTGTATATTCTTTGTAATGATCCACGAAAATATATAACTAATAACGCGTATATATATAACTAAGGAATTTAGTTTTGCTTCGTTGACTTACACTAGAGATTCAGAACTTAAGCCTGGTTTTCACTAGCGACGGTAGCAAAAACGGAAGCAGAAGCAGAAGCGTAAGACGTCTTGTGAAAATCAAAAAAACGGAGAAGCAGAAGCAGAACATCGACGGAGGCATAAAAAGAAAGAACGGAAGATTTCCTTTTTCTTATCCTTCTGCTTCCGTCCTTAAGTCGTTGGTGAAAACCAGATTCTTATGCTTCCGTCGCTAACATACAGAAACACAAACCAACGTAAGCCAATCAAATTCTCGTATTCAGTCCCCTGCACACATTGGATTCTTGCATAAACAATGGCTTCCTATTGTTTGTCTTATGCTTTCGTCACATTCATTTTCACTAGAACACAACTATGCTTATGCGAAAACCAGCCTAGTTAACTTACCAGCGTAGCAGTTTTCAAACTTCAAATTGTTGAAGTAAATATTACGATTCCATGCACGACTTTTGATGTGCGCGAACAGCACAAGCCTGAAAGGCTTGTTTCTTAGAGGAATTTTAATTGAAGTCTTCATCCATAATCCCTCCTGAATTTCTTCTTCATCAGATGACCATAATTTAGTATGAATTTTTTTTCCGTTCTCGTATTGCTCTAATAACACTGCCAGCCATAGATAATTGCGCCCAAAAAAGGTGTACTCGAAATTCAGTTGACATGCAGCTATGGCATTTGGGGTGATTATAGGGCTTACAAGATTAGCATAATATTCACGCCACCAATATGAATATGGTAGATCAATCGCATGTCCTGTCGAAGCAAAAAAAGTTTAAAAAGATTTGTTTTGCTAATAAACAAGAGAAAATAATGTAAACTGTTGCCTAATTCTTTTAAATTATTATTATACGTACCACTTCCAGCATCATAATTATTTTCAAACGCAAGATTAGTCGTTTTTCCCAGAACCCTTTTCTTTAAGACACTTTGCCAGCCACACATATAATTACGAATAAAAGTACATGGCATATCTGAAAAGAATAAAATAATGATATCAAGGATACCCACTCTCTAAGAAAAAAATTTCAATCTTGATTAAAAGAACCACCATGCATGATTTCCATACAATTCCGAAGGTCGTGGGTTCGATTCCCAGCGAGGTCGGAAATTAATTTTTCCGTATTTAATTCCAAGGGCTTTCGCCCGGAATAACCTCGTTCCCAAGCACTATAACTTATCTATATTTCTATATCTTCATGTATTTCATAAGTGCTACACGGTCCACATATTTTCATAGGAATAGAAGGCATTTTGCACTCTCGTTCATCTTCAAACTTCAGCACTATGGTATTGGGGATCAACTTCGAATTCTTCAGTGGTTTTAAAACTTCGCCATCCCTTTTCGAAATAGCTGTATACGTACCTTTGAGTTCTATTGCAGTAGCGAGAAGTACAACTTGCGAGGAAAATGTTCCTTTCCAGGTCACCTGTACCTCCTCAAAATCGACGTATAAAGAGTAACCCTTCCAACGATAAGTTCTAGTGTTTATTATGTCAGTTTGACCAACATGAACACGTAGGGTTTGTGACCCCTTGACACTCAAAACTCTAATAATTATTCCCATGCCTCTTTCAGTTCGAAGTCTTTTTTGACATTTGACTGTGGGATAATCATTTGTATAACCCTTAGCTGGTGGCGTTACAAAATAAAGGAATTCGCTTTCTTTGACATCTATCGTTTGCATTTTATTATCACACAAAAATACTCCATCTTGTCCTACGAACGAGCTGATTAATCGATCATCCCAACGAATAAAAAGAAGACCATTATTGTTTTCAGATATGTAAGAATCTTGAACGACAAAGGATTTCGTGTTTTCCATAACTGTTATTCCTGTTCCTCCAGTATTTATGAACTGACTCTTCTCAATTTTGTGGTTTTCGTCTGGTAAAACGATGGTGATGCCCCCAGAGGAACAGTTAAACACTTTGATATGTCTTATGATTGGAACTCTTCGAATTATTTCAATAGCCGAGGTATTTGAGCTTTTCCTCTTCCCAGCGTACATAATGTCAACGTATTCAAGAACTGATGTACCGTTACTTGCACTGCTTTTTTCAATCGGAGGGCGTGAAAAACGAATAGATCCCCATTCTTTGCCATGGCACCTTAATCCAACAACACTTTGACAGCGATGGGTGTTTTGACCTGTTGAATTCTTTGAGCACTTTGCAATAGATGATTCATTTCCCAAACAACGTAACTCAAGAGGATACGTCAGATTGTTTTCTGTATTACCGAATCTCGTTGGGCTCACGTCCCAATTTGGACCATCATAACCAAGCTGACGGCAGGCTACAATGACGTTCTGTCTTATCCACTTCTCTGTACATATCGGTTTCCAACTTGAATCGTGATAAACTTCCAATCGACCGTGCCAAGGAAAATCCCCATCCATTAACCGAATGTCAAATGGAAGTACTTCAGTGTTCTTGGAATTCTCAATGTGCTTGAAAGTTATGTGGCGTTCTTTATCACCTCTTGCAATGAGTGTTCCAAGCACTAATATACTCGCGTATGGTGCTAACTGAACAGTTACTCCAGGTTCTATTGTTAGCACGGTGTTGGGAATCACTGTAACATCTCCAAGAACCTTGAAAGGGCTTTTTTGGCGTCGGAGGGTCATAGATTTATGTATCCTTCCCCTGAGTATTGACTTTCCAAACAACTCATCGAATGCTGATTCAGCGTCATACACTTTTGTTTTCAATACCTTATTTTCTAAGGCAAGAAAGTGTCCATAGTGGACGATGCCGTATTCATAGTTCATATCAAAACTGAGAACTCTTCTTGAGATGTCTTCGTTCGTTCCCCACCATGTTTCATTGGCGTTCAATTGAGGCAGCTGAGACAAGCCAAGGGTATGAAGACACAACTCAAAGTCAAATTGTGAGTTGCTCATTTTATTCCTTTTCCATTTGACGTCTTTAAAGAATAAGATGCCGTTAACATTAATAACACATCGCTCAGCGTTTGAAGACACTGAGGCACTAGGGTGGCTTTCTTTGATAGCGTTGTCAGTCAAAGACAGTTTTTGTATGAGTGTACTGGCAGTTATCTCGTGAGCAGCTTGAAGAAAGATCATGACCTGGCCAGTATTGTTAGTAAAGGTATTGTTCTCCAGGATAAGGTCCTTTTCAATGCGAAGAAACTTCAGAATTGGACAGCCATGACAAAGATTGTTTATGAACGTATTTTCTTTGATTTGTAAAGGTAGTGATGCAACGGCTGTTTTCAAAATAACTGCAGGTCCGAAGTTTCCTAAAAACGTGTTCTTATCAATGGCTACAAATCGAGCGCTATAACACAGGTCTATGACAGCGTCTTTGTTACAACGATTTGAAATAAACCTGTTATTTTTGATTGTATACGTTGCATGGGGAAAATCTACTCCAATTGAAATTGCTGACGAATCAGAGTTATTAAAAAAAATGTTTCCTTCGATGAGCCATTTTGCCAGGGACGTAGCTCGTTGAATATTGACGACAGGCCCAGCATTATTGGAAAAGTTGTTGTTTGTCACATGAAATTCAATTGCAGAACCCATATCGTTTTCGCTGTACGCATAAACACAATTTGGTTTATTCCCATGAAATCTGCATTTGATGACGTAAAGAGAAGTTTGGGAATATCTTCCATATAAATTAACCGCATTTCCAGTGATCTGTGACATTAAAGAGTCTTCTATAGTTATAGTTTTACTTCCCGAAGCCCATGCATACAGTCCATTGTTGCTACACTTCGAAATGACGCTTTTTGAGATTAGGATTTTACCGGCAATCCCTTCATTGTAATAGCCGTTTAGGGAATATAATAAGACGCACGTAAGATGACGTGCAATGGTTGATGACTGAACAAAGAGACTTGTGATTGATGATCTTATTTCGATGCCATTCTTAGCACTGCCTTGAATGGTGGAGTTTTGTATGAAAATCGATTCCGTACGAGGACCATGAACATAAATTCCACTCCCTGAAGTATTTTCGATAACACAGTTTTCGATCGAAATCTTCCCATATTGCGTCATATGTCCATTCGTATCTGCAGGTAAAAGAGACAGCAAAACAGTGACAAGACTCGTGCAATTTTTGTTACAATTACGAAAAAAACTGTAAGAAATATTTGTCAGCATATTTAAAAGAATAGCATGCTAAGGTGCAAGAAAACCGCTAGCAATTTTTCAAAAATTGCATTATTCAAAATGAATAGGGAAATAAATGAATACTTCTTTAAATTTACTCGTTAGGATATAATATGCTAGCAAGCTAGAAGCTAATGTAACGTATCGTAAATTACCCACCATTTAGAGAGAAAGCCAATAGGTGTACGAGCATTGGGCTGTAAGCATAGTACTTCATAAAACGGAGATGCATGCTTGAGGTATTGGCATATAGAACAGGTCTGTCCTCCCATGAAAGATCTTCCAACTTCCATTGTTTTCCACCACTATTTACATTTACACTGTCATAGTAATAGGAATAATATCTTATATTTTTGTAGATTATTTGCAGAGCAATCTTTGATCTGTTCGTCGTATATACTTCTTGATCGCAAGTTGATGGTGCCGTTTCTCCAAATGGAGAAAAGATCAAATATCTTGAATCACCCTCTTGGATGAATATTGACTTTTCTCTACAATTAGAGACGTGGTGAATAAACGCAGGGTCTGACATTCTTCGTGCGTCTATGTCAAGATCGTTCCACAAGCTTTTTGAATAAAGACCGTTGCCTTTAGCATCTATGATGTTAACACGATCTAGAGCTGCATGGGAAAAACTGATGTGCAAACCGTTGGATTCAGTACCCTCTACCAAGGAACTAAATAAAGTAGGCACGCTTTTGAAGGGATTTGAATACAAAACCTGTACACCAACAGATTCTGAATTCTTCACCATTATATCTCTCAGGACGTGGTCATCAAAATCCACTCTTAAAGCTGCTGAGGTTATTTTGAGGTCTGTTCTGTAATTATGACCCCCTTCGTGGATCTCGAGGTGCATAAGACTATTTTTGCCTTTAGTCATGGCAAGGTGAACACCCGACCAGTAGGGTCTCTTACATCGAAGATACAAGACATAATCGTCACAACTTGGGGTATAGCTAAGGTTTTCATAGTTGCATGAACTCATGTCCAGGGCTATGTTGGGGTCACAATTGAAGTCGTTGATAAATCCATGTTCTTTTCCACTTGGATAATACAGGCTATAGCTTTTATACTCCATATCAAAATGGTTGCAGACCATTTTTGGATGAAAGTTAAAGTTTCTCTTGGCACATAGAGTCATCCATGTATTGTTGATTTTAATCTCCACATTGCCGTACCATCTATCTTTGAGTCTTATTATCTCAACGACCTCGTCTAGAGTAAACTTGACGGTTTCGTCTTTTTTGCCGTACACTTTCAAGCTTCCTTGAACAACGAAGGCAGATCTAGCAGGGAATTTAAGAGTTACGTTAGATTTAATGCCAAGTGAGCCTGATGGCAGTATAACGATATCTGCTGTCACAATATAAGCTGTCGTGGTTGTGTTAAGTTGTAAGTGCTTGTCTAATGTTCCTCCAATTGCCATGTCCTTCAAAAAGCAAGACGGTCTGCTGGAATTTAATGAAACAGCATTATGGCTGTAGTTACTTCCTAGGAAAGGAAAGTATTCGATTCTGGCGAGATCCAGTCTATCTTCATAGTCAAAAATTTGACTTTTTATACGACATTCATCGACAGTTGCCCACCAGTTGTGGCTTGCGTTGACCACTCGCCCATGGGCAACAAGAGCGGCTGCGACTTGATAGTTAAAGTTGGGATTTTCGAAGGAATTGTGCACTATATGAAATGTTCCTTCTTTCAAGACAATTACCGCGTCTTCAGTCATTCTGCTATAAAATCTCGAGGGCAGTTTGGTCTGTTTGTTCATCACAAAGGAGTTGAGTCGCAAGACAGCGGAGCGAATGGTATACCAAGGCTGCAAATCAATGTTGACCATGTACTGACCCGTGTTATTTTCAAACCTGTTTGAGGTAATTTGTATTTTTATTGGATATTCATGTCGATCGCCACAGTTGGTTCCTTCCCTTACAGTTACGACCTTGCCCAAATTGTCAAGAAATGCATTTGAGGCTAATGTCCCTTGTAGAGCAAAAATACCAGGACAATCAATGTGGATAACACTCTTCTTATTGCGTATGAAAGTGTTGTTTACTGCATCGATAAAAACTCGTCTAGGCGTTGTTGAGTAATAGCAAGTATGTTCCTCATAGAAACCAAATGTTTCTAGTGTGTTGTTGGCAAAAGTATTACTTTCTAGCCGGATGCTGACGTTTCTTACGCTATCAAACTTATAGGCGCAAGAAATCATTAACTTTAAACCAACTTTGCTTCCGGAAATATAACACTTATACACTGAAAACAATGTTATGCGGTTTCCTTGTGAATTCTCATACACATTTATTGCTCTTTCTTTGTTTTCGATGATGCTTACGTTGACCATCAAAATCTCTCCACCGTGATTGTTCAAGTAAAATCCATGCTTGTTATTTTTCTTTAGAATACCATGTTCGATAAACAAGCTAGATTTGCCATCATCAACACGAAGCCCGCTTTCCTGGTTTCGAGATGCAGTAAACTCCAAAATCTTAACAGAGCCACCTTGCGTTTGAAAATAGAATCCATGGCCACCATTCTCATTTGCGGAGCTTCTTTCAATAACCACTGGAGTTGAACACCTTATAACATATGTACCTGACTTTTCGTTCAGGGTTGCTTTAATGTTTGTAAACATTAACGAGCCATTTGATGTTTCCTCTAGAAACAGTCCGTTCTCCTTATTTTGAGAAACTTCCAAATTTGACAAATTAATGTCAGTATCCCTCTGAGATCCAATGTAAACTCCGTGTCTTGCATTCCCCCTGACTAATCCTTGTTTGATCGACAAAATTCCAGTGCCTTTGTAGGTTTTAATACCGTCCTGTTCATTGCCAAATATTTTGATTGATGCGATTGTGACCATCCCTGAAACGCGCTCTAAATAAACACCACTTTGAGTATTATTTGCAGCATCAAAGTTAAATTGGTTAAGTTCTCCATACAGCCCATTGATGTGTACACCGTCAAGCTTGTTTTCGTTTACCTTCGTGTTGTTCATCTGAAGAATACCAACAAAGTCCACGATTTTTGCTCCATGAAGGCCATTATCAATAAATGAGGAGTCAGAAATTATTGCAGATTTCGTTTCTGTAGAAGATAAAAAATCATCACGTTTTCGACTCAGAAGTATACAATAGACCGTTTTCTCAAGGCTGCGTGGGCATCCAACTTGACGGGTCACAAAATTTAAAAACGGGTATTCAGTAAAATTGAGAAGCTAGCTTTCTATTTAAAAGAGGAGAATAAACAATTTTATGAATTCTTATCGAAAATATTTTATAGAAAAGTATGATAATTCTCATTATAAAGCTCCTGTTTTGGTATATGAGTGGCCCGTCAAGTTCCTCAAATTTGGATGCGCACGCAACCATGAGAAAACGGTGTATCGTCTCGTAGGTTTGTTTGATTTTGATAATAGTATTTTAAGATATGTAAATCAAATAATTAAAATTACGACCTTTCTAGGCTTTTGCGGCGGATACCTATCGTTTTGTTAAATGTGTCATCTAACGAGAGAGTTATTATACGACTTGCGTTTGGCCAAAAAGATTTGTAAAATCTTAACGTCAAAAGATTGAGAAATGAGGTTTATTTAGTGTTCTGTCCTATTTAACTTTGTTGTTCTCACTTTCTAAAAGTTTACACCCCTAGGCCAGTATGTAATTATAAAGTTAACAAATTGACATCAGTTTTTGTCTTTTTATTGCAGATAGATTGCGTCATCACATTGTCAAAGTGGTGTGTGATAAAAAAATAGTCAATAAGCGCGCCTGAAATTTGTATGTTTTTTGTAATAATTCAAGTTGCTACGAGTTACTGTTGGTATTTCTGTCTGACGCTGAAAGGAGATTAACCCTGAGTAAATAAGTCTGTAATCAAGAAACACAGCGATATCTTACTAATTCGGAAAAATATATATTCCCATAAAGCCGGCAATGTCTGGCACAGATTTGAAGGAATACTGTAGATCAAGACTTACTCGTGTGGGAACGCACTAACCAGGACCACTTAAACAAAATTTAAAATCGACAAAAAAAGACTTTAGCCAATCAGGAGAGGGCAAAATCAGTATCACATTAACTTTAGCCAATCGCAATCACTCATTTTCACGTTTTGTCGATAACGTCTAAGCTTTTCCTCATGTTTAAGTTTGATTTCATTGCTTTCACTCTGTTTCGTGTTTAGTTAACTTTCTTCAAGTGCACGAAATGGCACAAACACACAGTACTGAAAGCACAAGGAAAATCCCTATTCTAAAGTTCAAAGAGATTTAATTCGTTAACCATTATATACTTGTCTGGAATTGACCTATAACATTATGATGTCACAGCTTGTTTACATGGGCAAGAATGATAGGAATTTAGGCGAAATTTTCTTTCGTTTAGGATATTTAGTACAACATTTATCTGTTATCATCTTTCCCCGTCTAATTAACCAGCTATTTTGCCCCCTCTGGCGACCATGATCCTTAGCGTTAAAACAATAGATTGTTTTGATGTGACGTCATAGTGTTATTTTGCAATGAATTTCAACAAAAGTACCTTTCATATTTACGATCATAAATTCAACGCTGCTCCTGGTTCCTTGACTGTTTGAATATGAAATTTTTAGGGCATTTGTTTTGTTTGTAACGAGTTTGCTCATTTTACCAGCGTCGTTTTCATTTACTCTAGATATCAAAGTCCAGTTACCACGGCCATCTTTGCTAAAAACATCGAACCAAAATGAGGAGCCAGTAATCTTGCGATAATGTAAGGCCAAGGTGGAGTTTTCGTCGGCTTGGATGATCTACAGGTAAGATGATGGGATTAATACTCAATAGTAGAAATAATTTTTAAAAAGAGAAAAAAAAAAACAAGATTTGGTCCTACTTACTTTAGTGCAATGTACGTAACTTTTCGATGAAGTGTTTAAAAGTAAGGGGTACTTTGATATCCAACTTTGATTCCAAGTGCAAAGATCACTTGCGACAAGATCATCTTCAATGGAAAATCCAACTCCCATGGCTGTCCTTATAAATGAAGAATTTTGAATCAGAATGTCTACGTGTGACTTGGTTATTCTTGTCCCAGATAAGACGTTGTCGGTTACCTGACTATCAGTCAATTCAAACTTGTTCTTAATCTCACTTGCTTGGATACCGTTGAAGCAGTTCCTTATAGTGATGCTTCTCATTGTAGGGGCTTTGTGTGTGATGTTCAAAGCGAGAAGGGCATGTTCGATGTTGACATGCCTCAATACGGATGCTGATGAAGAATTGGGCGTCATCTCGAAGGACATACCTCGCCATTTTACTTGTTGTTGAAGATAACTTTGCAGGTACTCGCATTCGATTCCAATTTGGTAGCCTACCATCAAATCAAAAAATTAATGAATGGTATGGTATTTAGAATAGTACGGTTCAGGATAGAAAGGAGGGGGGTAGAAGGCTTAATTTGGGTGAACAGATAAACAGCTATTTCAAAAAAAGGTGGTGAAAGTTTTATTCCACATGTTGCATGCTGCTCACCAAGCTTGAAATGTATTATATTCATATGTATAAAATAATTCAAATAAAACGCGCCCTCTGATTGGTCAGTTACTGTCTTATATAACTCAATATAGATCGTTAGGAAATGAAGTCAGCAAGTGCATGCAGAATTTTCCAATATAGTCACAAATTTTGCTTTCTAACTTGAAAGTGAAAAAACAATGAATATTGGATCAGGAATAGAAGCTGCAATACAATCATGCAAGAAAGTTATCAAACGTAGTGACAAGAGAAAGACTCTCGAAACGAAATGCTTATATACTTCGAAGACAGGATCAGCTTCCTTAGTTCGTTTGGAAATGAAACAAAATTTTATAATATCTGAATAAATATCGCCTACAACTCATGCTTTTCCTAGCACTTCTCTCGGGTTCTCACACTTTCCCGAGTGTTTATATAACTCAACATAGGACGTGAGCCCGTTTTCTATCTCTTTAGTGAATAATGCCAACACATAAGAAATTATGCTGGAAAACGTGCAGTTAAAATCTTTCAAGTTTGAGAAAATTCCATATCGTTGAGACCTTTCGCTGATGGTATTCACATCGCCCATAGTGCATGTTCGGGCTTGGTAGGCAACATGAGAGCAAGAGAGATAGAGCGTTGCTTAAGAATTGCAGAAAAAATTATCTTGCGTTGTTCTTGATGCACAAATAAAGCTGGGGAGATAATGCTGAGAAAAGCCATGAAATACGCAGAATTTTTGATCATTTGAAATTGCGCATCTCTGTTAAAATGCGTGTGTTTCAATCTCGTAGAAGGTTTTTTTAAAGGACAATCGCACTTTATCACAATGTTAGATGTACTTACTATAACAGGAAAACCACGGCGCAGTATGTGGACAATGAAGTAGGTTGACCTCAGAACCTTGACATATAACAGATCTCATCATATACCGTTTCGTGCGATCAAAATCAGCTTTAAAAAACCGTTTTGCTCTTAAGAATCCCAGCTGTCTACAGGCTACATCGGTGCTACTCGGAAGCCAGTTATCGGCACAAATAACACCCCATTGACCGTTACGTAAGATTTCAAGTCTTCCATTATCATAAGCGTTTCCACCCACAAGTCGTATTCCATCTCCATAGTACAAACTGGCGTTGGAACTTGCATTGGGATGAATTAATGATGAAAACGAAATCTTGCTTTCGGGACTTCCTTTGGCAATAAGGGAGCCAATAACTTTTAAACCAGTATCAGGAAGGAAAAAGATTTGCACTCCAGGCATGATCGTCAGGGTTGAACCTTCTGGAACCACTGCGTCTCTTTCTACTGTGAATGATCCTTGACTTGGTGATAACGTGACGTTTCCTAAAAGCTCACCACCAAGAACTACAAATAAAATAGATAATGATATTTATAATGATGATGATGATGATGATAATGATGATGATGTGAATGATGATGATGATGATGACGATAATGATGATAATGATGATGATAATGATGCTGATGATGATGACGATGATGACGACGACGACGATAACGACCATGATGATGATGAGGATGATGATGATGTGAATGATGATGATAATGATGATGATGAGGATGATGATGATGGTGATGATGGTGATGATGATGACGATGACGACGACGACGATGACGACCATGATGATGATGAGGATGGTGATAAAAACAATTAAAGAAAAAAAAGAAAAAAATTAACCTGATGGAGCAGTGGAGTTCACGCCATGCGGAGGAATAATTTCATTCATCGATGGACTCGTGGAAAGGAACAGGAACAAAACAATCTGGATAACGTTCATCTGTATAAAATATTATAATGCAACTTATTAAGTCAAGTTTCTTATAGGAATCATCACCCAAATGCTGTACTATCCAATTTAGATTTAGATTAAAATATCAACTTCAACAAGGCTTCTTTGGATCGGTTGAAATGTTATATGGAAAATATGGTCACAACAGTGATCGCCCTTATAAACCTATACTTTTGGTATAAGTTTTAAGAATTGAGGCCTCAATCTTAGAAATGTTTATGCTGGCCTCACAGGCCGCTGATATTGTGAAATACTGGCTGTTATAAATGGGAGCAACGTTCTTTAATCCAAATTAGGTAATCTACTATCAGCAGCAAAGAATGAACGATTTTATGTACTGTTGGGGCATGCACCAAATCCATATTGTCGCTATTTTGTAAAATTGTTCGTTTGTCTGTCTGCTCGATTTTCTTTCTTTTTGTTGTTGCTGTTTTGCTTGTTTGATATTTTTTGCCGTTTCCCTTAACCCTAAAGGCAAACTTCAATACTCTAGCATTTTTTCTTGTTGTAGTAACAAAAGATAGGTTGTTTTGGAATCGTATACGTTTTCTTTTTTGCGAGGCAATGTTGATGATGTTGGCCTAGTAAATCCTCGAGGTCATGCGTTGCCTGTGTATCTAATTCCAAGATTTCTCTCCAGTCTCTATTGTTCTAACTCGACAGATTCTCATATCTTTTGGCGCTGTTAGTAAATTCCTAGGTCAATGTAAGTAAACTTGATCCGCTGTGTCCAAATTTTCATATGCGCTCAGACTTTGGAAAAAAGAAAACGTCTGAAGAGAAAGTTAAAAGGGCTTTTAAAAAGCAAACAATGTGGATATACTTCCGCATTTCAAGTTCGCCTTTGCTCAGTCTTAGCCTCGATTGTGTACAAATGTATTCTTTGTATAGAATGGAATGTACGCACTGCGGAACGTAACGTTACCACAATTTAAATTCCACGGGTTTGGTTGAATGGCTTAATATTTTAACGCACAACCGAGACTAAGGCTGAGCAAAAGAGAACTCGAAACTGGAATATAACGCGCGCGCGAGCACGCTCCTTTGTCGATTTGTGTCGCTTTCTGAGATAACGGAGATCTCTCCGTTATTACTAAATTCTATAATACTATGATAATAAATAATAATAAATAATACTAAAACCGAGTCGCGTCTCGGTAAGCATTCCCCGATATTCACTTCGCCTTCGGCGAATATTTGTTAAATAATCCCCTTCTGTTTGCGTGCACATGAATGCAAAAATCAAGAATGGCGTCTTTCGGTATTAGAGCCCAAGCAGGCGGAAACATTTACAATAACTATATGTTTAACGAAACTAAGCACAAGTGCTAAACAATTTGCTAACAGCTACAGTCTAAAATATACCAATACAACGTAACGTACCTCGTACCTTTTGGCGTCGAAGTAGTTCCTTGTTAGCCGAGTAGAAATCCTCGTCTTATCTGAAAGGACTACATTCTATCCACATGAATTAAACGTTTAGACTCGCCGAAGAAAACAAGGACCTGCGTTTCGTTAATAAAGGTTATTTTGTGTATATACTGTACTGTGCTGTGTGAACGCCGAAACCTCTGGATACCCAAGAATTAGATTCTTTGATTCTCGTGTACTTAGTATGCGAACTAGGAGTGCCTCTTCTTGATTTCCATGGTAACTAGATACTAACCAAAATACAAGTGACTTATAATATTGACCTCTTAATACATAAAGTAAGTCTCGATCACGTTTCGGAATGCAAATATAAAAATCCTTTGATCATATAACAGAGAAATACCTGAAGCTTTCCAATTAAAAATCGGTATCATTAAACAGAAATGAAATCAATTTCAGTGAACGTGTGTGCTTGACCTCGCTTCAGTAAACTCAGCTGCCATTTAAGTAAATATACATATAGTTTTATGAGTACGAAACTTCGTTTTGTTCCCTAGCTTGTTTTAATTAAATTAGTTCTGTAGGAGCTATTCTCACAAAATTTGGTACTGATTACTCACAATTCGTGTTTTTGAGCTGTGATTTGCAACACATTACTCAAAAGTGGCAGAAAAGTAGAAGCTACTTCCTCATTCCATTAACGTAGTAAACATATCATGTGTCACTCTCCATCGTTTTCCATATCTCTCTTTATCTGTGTTTTTCTCTCTTACGGACAAACATAAAAGTAACCAGGTACCAGAATTGGAAGTTACTAAGACTGTTAAACTGAATAAAAGTTTGCTTCTTGAAAAATCTAGATTTTAAAAATTTTGACAGAAGCTTTGCTCCATCACGTGATGGCAGCTATGACAGAAGGCATTGACAATTGATTCTGATTTACATGAGAATGAATTCAGTTTTCTAGGGTAAAAAGATCATTACTCTGCTGCTATAGGCATACTTGTATAGTATGCATTAGTTTGTCAGCTAAACCAACAAAGTCAGCTGAAATGTGCATTCACGTCATTACCTGTTCTGGTATGAATTACGGCTCTTCAATGTTTTTACTCGGGCTTTCAAAGAAATCGCAGTTGCGTTCAAAGCGCATGCGCAAGTTGTATGTTGTAAGTTGTATGTTATGTTGCACATAAGCACATGGACGAGCTATGGCGGATTTTTTCAAGGTTTCGTCGCTGACTATAAAATCATGCTAAACCAAATCAGTTGTCTCATGTAAACCTACGTAGACATGATTGTGAACCCAGCAGAATACCAGTACGAACTCTGAAAAGTCTGAGAAACAAAAGCAGAAAGCTGAAAGACTTTATCTTCAAACGTATTCGTCCAAGTATACCGAAGTCTTCCAAGCTTCATTATTGTTATGTGAAGGTTAGAAAACTTACAAAAAATTAATGTAAGCTGAATACTAAGAGAATGAGCTTAAATAAAGTCACACAACATGAAAAGAAGCTTTTGTTTAACTGCTCTAACGAGGTTTATAAAGTGATAATGAAGTCGAAATATCATAGAGCTAGTCGGTATTTATCATTTTTTACTTGTAATAGTTTGATGTGTCTCCACAAGACTAAGATCCAAATGCCAAATTATTGTAAATTTAAACTGAGTACAGACATAGAGAAGAACCCTAGTCCTGCTCCAATGTACATTGACCCTAGCAAAACAATAACAGTACCTTATAGCCAAGGTAATGAACTAGTATTTGGAAAATTCTGGACGACAGTGTGTTGCAATGAGTTTGTGCTCTTTGATTTACATTAACAAGCAAGGAGTTAATTCTACCAATGACCTCATGTTAATTATGGATATTGGAAATCAGTTGTATTCAAGTTTATCTCAATTAGCCAGACAGTCCTTTTTAATGCAGTCAGAACTACCACCARTGCTAAATGTGTTTGACACTGACTATGAACTGCAATACAGTGAAAGCTACACTGGTACTATACATCAAGAGGCTGCCATAGAAGGATATCAGTACTGTACTTCTTCGCAAAGAGCCTTTGAATCACTCATAGCTGAAAACTACACCAATTTTGTAGGCTTTACTTTGCTCTTATATTAAATGTTTGGTGTGTTTGGTTTAAATATTTCTAATGATAAGCTTTTGCTTTTACACCCGCAAATACGCTAGTGACGGTAGTTCTGAAACAAGTGTACGTTCTTCCGGACTAACGGGGTTGAATTCTATTGTTAAATAGCGTTTGGTACCGAAATTATCGTCCGGTTTCCGGAATAGAGAGGTTCCGGTTTACTGAGGTTTATTTTACAAAAGATATATGGGAAAAATTTCCGGACCAAAACTTTTGTCCGGTTTAGAGAGAATTCCGGTATACTGAGGGTCCGGTATAGAGGGGTTTCACTGTATGTGTATTTTATCAAGTTCTATTTATATATTACTGGGCTCAATCTTGTCTTCTCGTCCTGTCTTTTTGCCTTTTTTTGTGGACAATTCATGACCCTGACCAAAGTTTACAACCTGGAGCACTGAGAGAACACATGACAGATCGCATTTTGGGTTCTCTCTGATGGCTTGCATTGTGAAGTAAACACCGTACACATAGCGAACTGGAATACAAAGATGATGAAAACGGTTACCAGACGTCCCTGAACCACGAAAGAGAACGGGTAGGATGCTCGTCGAGAATTTTCAAAATACCCCTAAAAAATACTACGGAATGTTTTCTTTAAACGAGCGTCGCTTTGTAGATTTTTAAACCATGAAAGATACTCTACATAAATGATTAAATAGTGTCTTGTCGAACGGCTAACGGCAAGGTATAGGCAAGTCTCCTTATCTATTATCTTGTAGGGTAGTTAATATGCATCGATCTTCTTGTTTGGCAACCATCAAAGATACCAAAGTAATATCAAGTTTATAGATTTCATTATCAATACCCTATGTAAGATACCATTAATAGCTCATAGGCTCAATAGCCAGCTACCAAAAGGTGGCTATAAAGTTAAAAAACACTACTTAAGTGCCAATTATGGTTAATATGTCAATTATAGACTTACCTACAATAACAATAACAACGAAGAGATTGGCAAACATCAGCATAACGGTAATGCCAATGGCGTCACTCTCCGCATCCACCAAAGTCGAAACTGTTTCTGCAGGGATCTTTAGCAGCATCGCTATGAACTGGTTGGCCATGGTAGCCATCAGAGCACCCAGATGAAGCCATTTGTCAAACAAATGTGGAATAGGCTGTGTGTGAGCAAAATACACTGCATAGAAACCAAACAAGATGGCGGTGACCCCAAGAAATAATCGTCCCTCTTGACCGGAATAAACCAGTACTGAGGTGAAGATGACCTTACGAACAAGCTCGATTACCTCCCAGTACCAACAATCTTCACTGTAGTTCTCGTAAAGAAACCTCATTCCAGCTGATATTTCATGGCCGGCAGCATCATCTTGGCAGCGCTTCTTCATTACTTCAAGATGTACTTTGTCACTACCTTCATCTTCAATGTCGCTCTCTTCTGGTCCATTGTTTCTGCAGTACTTCCACAAGAAGAACGTCGTGGCAACAGGAAATCCGATGGGAATCAAGAGTGTAAAGTAGACCAAGATGACAAATTTGTTATAGAAACTTGTAAAGCATTTCGATGAATAGTCGGACTGTAGATACCATGAACAGCCTTGCTCATTGTCACACACTTTATGGCAACTGGATGGCAGAACCTGGAAAACCTTCTCACAAGTAGCAGGATAAGTGACGAAAATGAACAAGAAAACTGCTCGATAGCAGTTTGCTTTACATTTGGAAAGCCTCTTGTTATCACGATTGATATTTGTAAGGGCCTTTTGGATGAAGAAATATAGAATTGCAATCAGAATGACCATGGCATCTAAAGAGATATAAACCACAAGACCGGCGTATGGCGTTAACCTTATAGACTGTTTCAGGCATTCCAATGGAACGAGTTTGAAAATGTTCAGTTGTACAACATCAGCAAACTTCATCAACTTGGTGAGTGCTGCAGGCCACTTGATGTAAGAATAGGCGTTGAGAGTACCACTTGTCACTTGGTAGAATCCAATCACAATCTTGAAACTACTGAAGACAGTGTCACTTACTGAACGTCTATTAGCACGATTAGACTT